TGCTTGGTTAGTGATTATGGAATAAGGCATGTCATGTGTGTATAGCAGCGCAGCTCGAGTTGACTGCCTGAACTAGCTCGCAGGCTTCGCTCCATTTACGTACCTGGGATCCACAAGATTAGATGTTAGGTCTTAACAAGGCAGAAAACAATGAATACATGCCACCCAATAACCACAATTTCACGCAGTCTGGTCAATTATGAGGCTGCAGCTTGGAGGTTAGCTGCAACTTCATAGTTGATCAGACTGCGTAAGTGGATATCATATTCCTTGAAAGCACAACGGACACACTTGTCTTAGGGTGTTCAAAGAGAGAGGGTGGAGTCCAGCTGCACCCACAGCTGGAGGAAGAATGTTATCAATTCACATAACATAACTTATATACTGTAAGTTGTGTCAAGTTTATGTTTCTAAAGAAGCTTTAAATCTTTACCCCAGGCTGAGGCTGAACTAAGATTCAACTCTCAAAACAAAGGATACATTTTTTCACTCACAGCTGAAACCATTAAGAGGCTTCAGCAGTTGTTACCCAACAAAAGCAGACAATAGCTAACGAGGACTGCGCATTATTAATTATTATCATATATTTATTTATTTATCAGGGAAAATGTACATAGCTGTAATAATAATTTAGGTTAGGTTTTAGAAAGGGACAGCACTGACAGTGTCAGCGTTCACATCAGTGAGTGACTGAACCCTACTGCCTGCAGTCAGCCGGCAGGGCGTGTGCAGCTGTCAGAGGCAACGAGGACCTGGTCAGTGTCACAGCTCTGACAGCGAGCAGACAATGATCTTTCATTACACCAGCGACATACTTTACTCGTGCTGACTTGAAAATCCGTCAAGAGACATGAACAAGTTTGCAGAGTTAAAGGTACAACAAGGAGACGTTGAAACTGTCTCAATTTAATACTGATTTTTGTTTCTGTTGTTGGTGTGTTTTTTGGTTGTATTCTGTCCACCTCATATATTGCTTTTAATCTTATTTTTATTGCTGCTATTTGTGTATGTAAAGCACTTTGTAAACATTGTTTTTTAAAAAGTGCTATACAAATTAAGTGAATATACAGTAATTTACTGACAAAACTGTAACCAGTACTGTGTTGTAAATTTACTGAACTGCAATTTTATTTCAACTAATACACTGTCATTTTAAAATACAGTACTTTGCTGTTAAAGATGCAGCCAGTTTAACAGTAAAAGTCTTACAGTGTAGAAACAAACAAGACTGACAATATAGAACTGTGCTGATGTTGTAATCCACACTGCACCAAAAACAAATCTTCTTCCTTTTAATATAGTTCATAATGGATTATGCAGGTTTGTTCTTGGCTGTCCTTTTAAAACTCACCATTGTACGATGTGTTAAACTCTTCAGCTTCCTTCTAAGACAGCAGCACTGGCTGTAGTTTATTTTTAAATGTATACATTTCCCAGAGTTTACTTACTAAACTATACTAAATAACTATACTAACAGTTTATGCTACCTTTCTCCTCGAGTTATTAATTGAGACATTCTACACAGCTCTTTTTTTCTGTTCCTGCAGTCTATAAGTCAATAGCTAAGGAAGCCTTCATATTTAAAGCTCCTTTGGACTGGAATAATCTACCTGTAGATATTCTGTCTATATTACCACCTGTTTAAAAAGGCCCTGTCTTTTTATTATAGAATCAATTGTATCAATGACAGTTGCACATGTCAATAATTACACCTCTATAACTTTGTAATCATGGTTTGAAACTCTATTACTTAATGATTTCACTGACAATAATACCATTTTTTTTGTAATTGTGTATATGGACCTTTTTGTCATTGAGCACCCCCTTGAAAACGAGATGGTACATCTCAGGATGTTATTCCTAATAAATAATTTGCAGAAAAAGACCACCAACCACACATTTGACTATTTCTATAGTTATTCTTAAAGCCTGCCACCAGGTCTGATTCAGTTGGACTGCCCTTCATATCAATGAAACAAGATGGTAGAAACACTACCGCTTTTGTCCACAGGGGCTGCCAAATGAACACAAAATGAATGTTCCTTGTCAGGGCTTTAAAGAACTCAGAAACAAAAATCCTTGCAGCTGCACACATGTTCAGAAGCTGTTCCTTGAAAATTATCCCATTTTTTAGTCCTGACAATGAGTCATATTTCCTGCTGGATGCTAATGTTGAGTTCAGTTTAAATAGCATCAATACACATAACAAAAAGTGTTGTAAGGTAAGTGCTGACTGGGTGTGTTTAACTGTAAACAGAGAGTGCACTTTAACAAGGCAGTGTGGCAAATATGAGGATCTTAAACCAAAGCTGTCTGTTTAAACAGGAATCCCCTGTACCTTATATCAGCCTGCTGCCCTTCACATAAGGCTTAGTGACTATGTAATACTAAAACCCACCTACTTATTTAAAGAGTCGCTACAAAACAATAGCAGTGAATTCAATTTTGTTTGTGGGGTGTACACTAATTTTAAGGAATTTAAATTACATTTAAAACTATATCTTTTTCCAAAAATAGTGTCTCCATTACTCTAGAAAAACACACACACTCACTGTTAACAGTTTTCAAAGGGACAGTTCAGAATTAGGTCGCTCCAGTAAAAACAGAGACTTGGGCCAAGAAAAACAAAACTATCTGGATGGTAGTATATTACTAGAGGTTTATTGGAATTAGTTTGTTAATAATTTGGCCAAACTGATGGTTTAACTTAACTTAACTACCTTACAGTAATAGTTTAAGCTTTTACTGTAAGGTTTAAAGAAATAGGTCAACATTTTTGGAAAATGGTGCTGTGACATTCAGGAATTTTGCAGGGCAACCAGCAGAAATTCCCATAAGTCACTGTGATCCAGCAAGAAATAGTTCCAACACGTAACCAACCATCACATATTGTTTTTATACTTTGGTTTTTGATATCCAATTTCAAAAGCAATCCTCATGTTCCACAGAAATACTCCCACAGTGAAAGAGGAGTATTATCAATTACATTTCATAACCTTTTGAAAGAAAACACACTTCGTATCAAGTTATGCTTCATGTCATTTGTCTTCAAGATTTATCTTGCTTATCATATGCCGTGTTTAAGGGGAGATTGTTTCTGTGTGTGTGTGTGTGTGTGTGTGTGCGTGCACATGCTGTGTCTGTCTCCTCCTGGTCTGGTAGGTGTAATAAATAGCAAGAGGGAGGGATCTTTGGCAAGGCTGCAAGTTATTTTGCATAGGGCTGTGTGCCCAGGCCTGGGGCCATGCAGGGAATGGCTGTAACTGCCATGGAAAAACACCTGGATTATATAAGGACAAAATCCCCTCTTTGCTCTGGGAGAGGCCCTGGGTCCTGACTGCTCATATCCTGATGGCCCCACTGGGGCCCTGTCTTTCAGCTCTTGAAAGTGCCATCGATAATTTGCTGATTAAGGTTTAAGTTGGAAAGTTCACTCCCCACGGAACAATCTCGATCTGTCGTGTTGCAGTTTCTGCACGCCACTTTTACAAGCAACATTACAGGATGCATGTGGAAGATCAGCCATGTGCATGTCTTTTGATCTCTGCAGTGACCTCCCTGCTGCAGAAAATATAAAGATCATTGACTCCATACATCTACATGACATTTCTGATGTGTAAAGATTGTCAGCCTGGAAATGAATGGTGATAAATCATCAGAACGCAATGTAATGTTATATAGACATCATTCAGCTGAACATCAAAGAAAACATGGCAAAGATGTGTTTGTCATGTTGAAAGTCATGGCTTCATTATTGTAATATAGTTAAGAAGCATAACCTGTTGACTGTTTTTGTCAAAAGTCGGTTTATTATACAATATCTTCAATTTAGCACCACAACCGCTTAAAACCTCTTAAAACAGCTGGCCAGGGTCTATTTTCGGCCCTCCATCTCCCTCCCTCTGGCCTTCGAGATGATATCAAAAATATGATAAAATCCTACATGGAAACTACCCCTTTCTATAAAAACAACTATGTATTCTGTTTGGCGCAAAAATAATGGCAAAAGTCAAAGGTTTTCTTAAATGCATGCAAAAGGTTGATGAGAAAAGAGCAGCTTTTGGGCCTTTGTGGTATATAAATATATAGAAACTGCTGTTTGCAAGTATGATGTTAGTAAGATTTCTTTAGATTATAGTATGTATTTCTTTGAATATTGCACTTTCTTGTAGTACTTGACCACTGAATTGGCCCTGAGTTTGAGACCTGGCTCAGGGTTAACAGTAGCTTCCTCCAGAGGGGACTGTCACCTCTGGGTATCAGAGAGTGCATTATTCTACAACATAGTAAATGCAGTGTGAAAACATTGTTGAAGGACAGTCAGGTCTGTAGTCTGTAGCATTGGTAATGTGCGTCCGGTTGGTAATGTCTTGCACTCATGAACGGTTTATCTCTGTGGTGGGATTGCTGATGTTGTGTATTGTTTTCCTGTGGTTTGTGTTGTTATGATTGTTATTGTTGGGTTTTGTTTTTCATATGGTGTTTTATCTTGCATCTGTTTTTTTTACAGTGTAAGGTTCTGCTTTAAAACTGTTCTTTTATCCCTGTAACCTGTGCAGCACTAGCTCATTAAATAAATACATAAATTGTCAGGTGTCATGATGACCTCACCGCAGTAGGGGGCGCCATCTTGGTGCTGTGTGGCTCCAGGCTCCTCTTCCTCCTCAGCAGCTCCTTAACTGGGTCTCTGACTCGCACACCTTGGTACGGTCTGGACCTGGCCAGTCCTGACGACGGCGCTATAATATAATAAAAATAATAAATAAAAAATAATTTCCCCCTGTGACTATTAAAGTATTTCTGATTCTGATTCTGCCAGAAACAGAGAAGGAGAGGGAAATGGATGGATACACATGACTATGTTTCCCTTCAGCTGTCTTGAGGCGATATCTGTGATGGACACCATGGTAAAAAGTCTATAATAATTAGGTGTCTGTAATAAAGTCTTGTTTGTTTTTCTGACTTTCTCTTGTTAAATACAGGATTAAATAGAATATAATCACAATAAAGTATTTAAGGGGTGGGGAAATCAAAAACCCATAACATATAGATACTCCTTATAAGCATGAACTAAAAACATTTCAAAATATTAAGATTCATTCTTGATCTTGGAAATAGCAGTTGATAAAGTCCATTAGCAGCTGTTCTTGGGCTTCTGATCCCATGTTGGACCAAAAGTTGAGAATGAAAGTTTTTAGGAAAAATGTCTAAAATAGACCTTTTTTACAGCAGCCATTTTCACATAGATATATATCGTAAATTCTTACTTAACATTATTCATTCTTTTTTTATAAGGTTCAATTTGTTGCTAGACTTTTCTTCAGTTTTAGCCCTCCAAGGGAAAAAGTTTGGACACAGCTGGATTAGTTGGTTGCAACTGAATGTCCATAGTGGTGCCAGAAGCTGTGCAGTTGCTGTTGATTTGTGAACCAGTGCCAAAGGTAACAGTTTATTGTCTTTTCCAGTTTATAAAACCACCATAAAGATTTTCTGTTCTTGTGCATCTGATAAACAAGGGGTTTTAGTGTCGTCTGGGACCACACTGACAGCTGACAGTGAGACTGTAAGACTGCAGGCTAAGTGCTCAACCAATGACTTCCTGCAAGTATAAGCATGAGGAGAAGTCAGATCTGAAAGCCAGGGCCTCCTTTGAATAAACAATTGTATACGTGAAACTGCAGACAATCCCATCAAGCAGTACGGCCTTAGGGTATAAAGTGATTGACAGTAAAATATTTGCTCACAGTAGTGCAGCAGACTGACAGCTCTCTGCAAATGCATGGTTCATGTACACATGCCACAATAGCTCTTAATCCCAAATAGACAAAAAGGCTACATGTAGATTAGTTTTACTTTTGTGATACCATGCTGTCTCTAACCATCCAATAGTCACTATGTTTTTTAATATGGGCTGTGCTCTTTACCTCCGAATAGAGCTATCTCCAATCTTCCTGTCCCTGCCTCACTTAGCAAAACATTGTATCATCTGAGACAGGTTGAACGGGTGAGTGAAATTACACTTTAAGACAAGTGATCTGCACCATGGCTCTTGATCATTTTGACTTCCACCAGCCCTTCCATCTTCCTCCACTTTCACTTTTTTATGAGGAGACAGAGAGACACGCAACCATGCAACTTATCTCTGGTCTCCATTAACAGTTGAGCAAACCTCACTCAGAACCTCAGTCAACTTCCTCCTTTCCTGTACTTAGATATGCTATGTGCTAGACTAATGTTGAAAACACAACCATATTTTGTTAGCTAATGTTTTTAAATTTTATTGGAGCATAGAACATAAAACAAAAAGGAGGGTCAACTGCACAATCCAACTAAGCTCCAACCGCCTTAGGCTTGTCTATGTTGAAAAGCAAAATATATATTGTCACATTTTAAGAGAGCAAATGTTAATGCTAATAGCTAGCCAGTCAATCTACATAAACCTTTTGCTAGATAGTTAGCTAGCATTTTACTAACATTAGCTGTCAGATGTAACTAGCTAACGATTGATACAGATTAGCTAACTAGATAGCTCGGTTGGCTGGTGGGTCTGGCTAACTGAGCAACCAACCGACTGTTGACAGTATATAATTAGTGGACAGAGCTTGTGTGTTGACTGTGTGTTGTTTTCTGTTGTTAAAAATGTATTGTGTGTAATGGCCAGCAGCAAAAAAGAAGTCCAATAGTATTGAGGCTTATGAAGAAATGACCCTTCTTCTCACCTGATGAGTTTATGGCTCTGTAGTTTCAGTCTTCTTACATACAGCATGATGTTCATTTAGTAAATGATGGTCCCATTTAGAGTAAAATAGAGAATAAAACAGGGTATGCTTTAGGGCATGCTTAGTCATTCTTAGTGAGTCCGTCCAGCTCAGCACACAGAAACTCAGTACATCACTGCCGCTACCTCCGAAAAAAATGTCATGGCGACAACCATAATGCCAAACTTCAGGCCTTTAAAACAGTTCTCGTCAAACCAATGGGTAACATCATGATTGGTTTACGATTGCAACAGACTGACATGCTATTCATGCCGCTAGCATGGCTATAAATGCATAGTGTGGATAGAATGCATTATGTGTCCCGTAGTGTGGTTATGTTTTTAGGGTTTTTTTTTAGGCTTTTTTATGTGGGTTCTGATTGCAATTGCAAAGACATAAGCAGGTTGCTTCAGTTTTCTGGTAGATGTCACATCAATCTTAAAGTTATATAGTGAAAACGGGTGAAAGGTTCAGCAGTTTGACGATGCTCTGCTAACAAGCCATCTGCAGGTATGAGTCTGTCTGGCGCTTCAGCTTCTCTGAGGCAGAGTTGCAAAGCTACAGCTGATTTTTTGTGAAATGCTTGTCTTGATAGTCAAAGTCAGACTGCCATGGAGAGTGTCCCATGCTGCCTAATTTAAATGTGGTTGGCGTAATCACTGCCAACAGAAACTGACGTAAGCAAAGCCTAACGCAATCAATCCTGATTCCCTGAGATGTCTCTTTTGGTGGATTTGGAAACATCCTGTGGCAATAACGTCAAGCGTAATCATCACACAAAGTTCATTTGATGAAGACTGAGTGTTGTTTTCTGTTGGGGAGGGATTGGCGGGCATTCAGTTAAGCCAGCGGTAAGCCTGTATTGGTGTACAGTTAAGCTGAAACAAATGAAAGGGAAAATTCACACGTGTGTCAATATGACAAGAAATAGTGCCACACACACTAACATAAACTAATTCCAAGAACATTCAAAGGAAATCTAGTCCAGTCTGCCAATAAAAAAAAAACACTCATGCACAGTTATGTGTTATGGTTTAAAATATTAATACAGTATTGTCAAATAAAATACATTATAAATTTACCAGAACAATCCTGTTTAGTTTTGGTATAGTGCAGCAGATAGGGATCTAGTCCGAATCCCTGTCT